TAAACAGGTCGCCACTATTCTGATTATGATCCAAATGCTAAGAAGTTTATAACATTTAAAAAACTGGAAATGATTGGGATTCACGTGTTTTTCCTTATGATAGAGCAGATTTTCTCATCCTGAATGAATGATTTTTATACCCACGGAGGATTTTATAAGAGTCGCTCAAAAAAGGTTCAGCATCCACTGCGCCCTCACCGGAGTTTCCTCATTCAAGAGATAGAAACGAAAACAGCAAATGATTTGCAGAGAATTGTCATAAAAAACAAAAAGTCAGACAAAAGTCGTACTTGTACTGCAGCCTTCGTTTTTTGGGGATCTCTTGTTTCACTTGTAGTTGCATCAGAAGTTTCGGGAGGGTTCTGCTCCGTCCCACCAGACATGGAGCTTAACGGTAATCAACGTACATAATCTATGCAAAAGTACAAGTCTGATGCAATGGTGAACGTAGAGTAGGTAATCTGAGATTATAGATCAATATCGAAATCCCATGAGCATTTTCACGAGAATCACTTTTATTGACTAGTAACCCGATATTATAAACCAAAGCCAATACAATACCATTGAATAATACATATTTGATTGAAACAAAACTGCCTAGAACGTTAAACACTCTGACTGATGCATTGCACAAACACTAAAAATGTGAGCAAAAGTGCAAAATGTACATAAACGGGATTGATCATAAGTCAAACCTTAGCTCACGGCTAAGCTATGAAAATAAAACGAACTAAAATATATAGTTTAAAAACTGCACAATAGCTGCAAACAAGCGAACAAATGGGAAGGATACAACAGAAGTTTTCGCATCAAAAAACTGGTCCGTCTACAATCCTAAAGCTACAATAAACATTCTCTAACAATTAATAGAATTTAAGCATAACAATAAATATACGCATTAAGCAACTCGTCTATGTGCCTGATGCTAAATTCTCACGGTAGGAGGTATCCGTTGGTAAAGGGTATAATTCGCAAACGATGTATGTTTTGCAGATAAGTATGGTACGAAGAAAGCTCGATAAAACCAGTGAGATTTTGACGATACCAAAAAAGGATGAGATTGTAATCGAGCGAAGGTGTCGGTCTAAAAGGCAAAAATTACAAGAGAAGTGATAGTTCCAAAGACGGTTAGTAGAAAACAACCGACCATGAGTCCATAGTTGGGTTCCAAAGATGTGGTTTGATCCGGAGTTTCTAGGTCTACGATGTAATCGCAGGAATCAAGTGGAACGTATCTGAATAGAACCATAAAGGAATAAGCGCTTTTTGTAAAGAAATTACCTTGACATTTCCTCTTGATTCAAATCGTTCATTTCTGTTGGGATGCGGCGTGTGATAAATGGCAACCTGCCTTGCGGATAGTATTTCGGTAAAAGTCCAGAAAATTCGCTTTTTAGGAAATGAAGGTGGACTCCTAAATGAAAGGTTTATTTGGAAAAACCCAGTTGTAAGCTGATAAATGGCATAAATATAAGTAATCTCAAAGGCAAGAGAAAAAAATGAAAAGGAACGGGAAAAGAAACCAAAACTATTCACCTCGTTTCCTGGAACGTCCATCGATAGCAGTTTGAGGTAGGAAGAATGATGAGGGATATCGGTACCATTCCTTCCCCACACATAGACTAAGCGGATCCTAAAAATACCAGAAATTGAAAAAAAAAATTGCTGACGAGGTAGCTATAGAGCTGACCCCGCGCATGGAAAAGTCCAGCTGTTGTTGATGATCCAAGAGGTGTTCGTTGAAACTTTTATAGATCTAAACGGAAAATAACATAAACATTCATTCAACTACATCACCATA